ATATTTCACCCTCTCTGATAAACCAAAATTGATAGCAATTGAATTAAAAACTGATGTTTAGTTTGCATATAGATGAGTTGGCATTGTTTGAGGAAATCCAGTCTCAGATAGAAGTACCACACAAAGCCTATAGTTTTGGCTGTTTTTTATTTGTCCATGAGATTAAAGAATCACAATGAAAAGACCACAACCTGTGACCCGACGCGATTGAGAATCAGGGACCACCTAAAACCCAATCTATATCATTATATCCCATAAGAATGAAGATGAACTAAGTTTAAATAACAAACCACAACTCATTGTTCAAATGGAGATGTCAAATGATTTGATGAGAGACAACCAATGCAAGTGTGAAAATTTTGCATAAATTTATTTTGCTGGATTGCGAAGGAAATGTCCAATCGGAATAATTGTTGAATAAATTTAAGTTGCATGTTTAACTTACAAATGGGATTTGGAGAAGATCACCTTCCTCATGTGCGATAATGTGTTTACTTCCAATGTGGAGCATCCATGAAGAGAGTATTTGGAGGCTGACAAGGAAATATCAAAATTTTGTGTTACTTATGTGTTTAGGGAAAGTATTAAAGAATTTGTGTGAACGCTAAAATCCAAGCAGGGCGTTGTGGACAAATTAAAATGTTGAATGTAGCCATTGATTTAATATTTAATATTTCTTTAGACAAATCCGCATAAATTATGTTTAATTATCTCGAAAAGATAAACTACTAACACGTTGTATTAATCAATTTGAATGAAATAATAATGATTTATTTTCGTATTCCAAACCGGCGTAGGGAAATGTAAACATTGTATCCGAAGGATAAAAAATCATCATTCACTATCATTTAATCGAAATTAACCCATGATAGGCTTTAGTCGGACGTCCAGAAGATTTTTCCTTATAAACGGAACTGATGCGGACATCGGTCAATGAAGATTTTGACGCATCATCAACAGGGAGGCGCGTAAATCGTCGCTAAATTATAATCTTCATTTATGAATTATATTTTTCTGAGTTTTAGCTCTGATTTTATTGTATTTCCTGTTTTACCCTAGGTTGGTTTATGTAAGTTTGTGTGCCCAAGGGCAATTTTGTCTTTTAAAGTTTTCTTATGTTAGTGGCTACATAAGGCCTAAGCTATTGTAATGAGATGGATTTGATATTAAAATTTGTGATTCAACACTTGGTTCTTTGAGAGGACTCGGTAGGAGATTCCTATGGGAAGGAATCAATGTTTTCACCAGCTGCAGGATGGGTCCGGGCTCGTGACTTGAAGTCCTTGGGAGAAGGGCAAAGCATCACCCGTCAGTCTTCGGAAGAGTCCCAGGGCTCGCGGATTTTTGTTTTTTCTCCTCTTTCTTTTTATCTTCTACTCTTAGGTTTTTGTTTCTTTATTCCGTCTTGTATTTTCGTCTTCCCTCGCCCACCTTCCATCATTCGTCCTCGTCACATCCAACTCCACCAATTTCGCCCAACTTCCTCCATACACCAAAGCTCTACTAAAAATTCCCCATAGCCTCGGCCACCTCCACCCTTCCCAATCCAAGCCAACGGCCAACCCCTCACCTGCCGGCCACCTAATGCCCATCCACCCGAATCTCCCCTTCCCACTTACCACCCCCTTTCCTAATTTGGGTGGCAAAATCGAGAGGGAAAAAATCCATGACAATTTTGGATTTCAAATTTTGAAATCTTTTCCTATCTGGGTTTGATCCATATTTGGAAGGTTTTAACTCTCCAATTCAAAATTCAAATTTGAATGCAAGGAGATTGAGTTATTAATCCCTCCAAATAAATTAGACCCATCCAACCTCCACCGTCTCCACATGACATTCATATTTTTCCTAAATTAGATTGCATAAATTTGGTAACTATTATTTGAATAATTCAAATCAATTTGAATTTCAAAATAGTTACTATATTTATGTCTTATTTTAGGAAATCTTTTTGAGTTAATTCTTATTTGAATTTTAATCAAGAGAGGATCAAATTTTCTTTACCTATCTTGACTTATTATTAAAGTATTAATGGACCCATTTAATCCCCCCCCCCCCCCCAGCACATATATGCTGCCGCCCCTCCTCAAAAATAAATCATAGAATTTTATTTCCAAATCCATATCCCCACTTAGGAAGTACTCAATATCCCTCATTCTAAATTGGCCGAAATTTTCTCGATCCGTTTCCGACTCCTCCACCATATCTCTAATTAATTCATATTCATCTCCTTGCAATTCAAATTTGAATTTTGAATTGGAGAGTTAAAACCTTCCAAATATGGATCAAACCCAGATAGGAAAGATTTCAAATTTGAAATCCAAAATTGTCATGGATTTTCCCTCTCGATTTTGCCAACCCAAATTAGGAAAGGGGGTGGTAAGTGGGAAGGGGAGATTCGGGTTGGATGGGGATGGTGGTCGGCGGGTGAGGGAGTTGGCCGTTGGCTTGGATGGGAAGGGTGGAGGTGGCCGACGCTATGGGGAATTTTTAGTAGAGCTTGGTGTATGGAGGAAGTTGGGCGAAATTTGGTGGAGTTGGATGTGACGAGGACGAATGATGGAAGGTGGGCGAGGGAAGACGAAAATACAAAGACGGAATAAAGAAAACAAAAACCTAAGATAGAAGATAAAAAGAAAGAGAGAAAACAAAAACCGCGAGCCTTGGACTCTTCCGAAGACTGACGGGTGATGCTTTGCCCTTCTCCAAGGGACTTCAAGTCACGAGCCCGGACCCATCCTGCAGCTGGTGAAAACATTGATTCCTTCCCATAGGAATCTCACTACCGTCCTCTCAAAAGAACACAAGTGTTGAACACAAATTTTTAATATCAATAATCCATCCTCATTACAATAGCTTAAGGCCCTATATGTAGGCCACAACATAAGAAAACTTAAAAGACAAAATTGCCCCTTGGGCAACAACACTTACATAAACCAACCTAGGGGTAAAACAGGAAATACATAAAATCAGAGCTAAAATTCAGAAAAATAATTCATAAATGAAGATTTAAATTATAGCCGACGATTTACGACGCCTCCTGTGATAGATGCGCCAAATCTTCGTACCGATGTCCGCATCAATTCGTTATAAGGAAAAATCTTCTGGACGTGGACTAAAGCCTATCATGGGTTAATTTCGTATTTAAAATGATAGGTGAATGAGATTTTTATCCTTCGGGATAAATGTTACATTTCCTACGCCGAGTTTGAATACGAAAATAAATCATTTATTTTCTCAAATTGATAATACAAGTGTTAGTTTATCTTTCGAGATAATTAACACTAATTATGCGAATTTGTCTAAAGAAATATTAAATATTAAATCAATGGCACATTCAACATTTAATTTGTCCACAACGCCCTTCTTGGATTTAGACGTTCACACAAATTCCTTTAATACTTTCCTAAACCAACATAAGTAAACACAAAATTTGATTTCCTTAGTCAGCCTCCAAAATACCTCTCTTATGGATGCTCCATTGGAAGTAAACACATTATCGCAATGAGGAAGGTGATCTTCTCCCAAATCCCATTGTAGTTAAACATGCAACTTAAATTATTCAACAATTATTTGATTGGACATTTCCTTCGCAATCCAGCAAATAAATTTATGCAAAATTTTCATCACTTGCATTTGGTTGTCTCTCATCAAATCATTTGACATCTCATTTGAACAATGAGTTGTGGTTTGTTACTTCCACTTAGTTTTCATCTTCATCTTATGGGATATAATGATATACATTGGGTTAGGTGTCCTGATTCTCATCGCTCGGTCACAGGTTGTGGTATATTTCATTGTGATTCTTTAATCTCATGGACAAATAAAAAACAGCCAAAACTATTAGGCTTTGTGGGACTTCTATCTGAACTTGGATTTCCTCAAAACAATCCCACTCATCTATATGCAAGCAACATCAGTTTAATTCAAATTGCTATCAATTTGGTTTATCATGAGAGGGTGAAATATATTGAAGTTGACCGTCACTTAATTCAGGAAGATTTAGACATTCGTGTCATTTCTCTTCCTTGAACATCTAAAAACCTTCATATTACATGCATATTTATGAATGTAATGAAACCAGGAAGACATCAAGTTTTCTAGGAAAACTGATTATGCTTGTCAACACATCAATTTGAGGATCGATATCAACGAGATATGCATTTATGACATAATGAGACACGCATTACTTACCACATCAATTACCCATGTGTATGATGTCTAGAAAACTGCATAATTAATTTGTATAGGTATGAATATTTAACTCTTAGGAATATACTTAGTTGCATCCTTTTTATGAAAATTCTGATTGAGCAAATTACTCAATAATTGTCTGATATGAAGCATATTCTTCTCTACACAATGAGCATAACCCTCTAGAGGAGCGCAGACAATTTGTGCAACAAACCTTGTTTGATATAGACAACTCGTAACACATATAACCTTCATCGATACAAGATTAGCCCTTAATCCACAAATTCCACAACTAAATATCAAATAGTTTTGCGAGATTACAACAGGGAATGCATACTAACCACTGAAATGGTTCTAAAATTAAAACCACAAGAGATTAGCAGTATTACATAAAATCCAAATTCAAGCCACCTACGCGAAAGAGTGTTAGGTTAAAGCAAAAGGGCTGACCGAAGACATCGGCGACGAGAAGAATGGCGGCCTTGGAATCGGGGGAGCCGGCGACGTAAGCCTTGAGACCTCCAATGCTTTCCACGACGCTGCCATCGCCAGAGGATGAGTTCAGGACAGGGGGGTTTTCACAGCATTCGGAGCTTGCCATGTCGAACTACAGAAGCTTTCTTCTCGTGCGAGCTCGGAAGAGATAGGTATCGCTAGTTCGAATGAAACGCTGGAAAGTGCGAGTGAACTTAGGTCTAATATAACAATATCAGCATCCAGAGACCAATTTTCCAACGCCACAAGATCCGACACGAGGGCTGACTGAAGGGAGAATAACTTTAATTGAGGAAATAGGTCTGCCGTATGCCATTTGTTTTCCTTCTTTTAATGCTCTTGAAGGCTTTTTTGGACTATTTTTTTATTTTTTTAATACTTTTTTAGTAAAAAATTAAATTTTTATATTAAAATTTTATTTTAAGAAATAATTAAAAAATCGTCTCAAAAGAACCCTAAGTAATAAATCTAAAAGAAAGACTAGGTTATCGCTCATAAGAACAGTTTTTTTTTTAAACCATGACAATTAAAATGAGTTTAAAATATTCGAATTCAAATATGATTAGAGCTCAAATTTAAATTTGAGTCAAAACATAATCATATTCAAAATTATTCAAACTTTTTTCTAAAACTATTTCAATTGAGTTTGAACTTTGTTTTTGATACGTCATGCAAAAATTATCTTGATCGGACACGAATCTCGAGGCAAAAAGCAAGTCGGAAACTTCAAAAATTAAATCCGGAATCATCTGAACTCTAATTTCAGCAAACTTATAGTCGAACTGATCGTCTTGGAAATACGAAATCAACAACACCAAATTCAACTCGATCCGAGCCCAAGTGAGCCCAAATCAAGCACCAGAAGTGTTGTTGGAAAGCTCGTACCACAATTTGAGTTACCAAACGGTCTCCGATTTTAGCGAGCTTATAGTCGAATCAAGAGACTCAACGAGACAATCCAACAAGCCCAAGATCGCCGAATTCTGACATCACTAAGGCCTTCAAATGTCCAACGAACGGTGCACAATCGAAGGATTCAATATCGGCCGTCCATTCGACCACTCCCTATTCGCCCCTGATCTCACGCCTATTTACGAGCTATGCCACTCCAGAAAAACTATAAATAGTGCCCTCATTTTTTACAAAGGGGACTCAAGTAAGAAGAAGAGGAAAAGAAGAAGAGAAGAAGAAGAAGAGAAGAGGGAGGAGAATCAGCTCCTCCTCGACCACCGCCGGAGTTCTTCCCGCCGCCTTAATACGCCGGTATTCTGTCGGATATTTAGGAGACACCAAAATTCTGCACAACTTTGTTTCAATTCAGAAGAAACTTATTGTAATCTGATCGTCCTGACATGTGGGACGAATCACTTCTTGTAATTCACGCAACACTAGTGGGACTTTCAACTGGGCGCGGCCCCGTGGTTTTTTTTCCTTTTCAGGGTTTTCCAAGTAAAAATCTTGGTGTTCTTTTATCTCTTGTTTGTGTGTTGAATATTCGTACAACGCTCAAACGTAAAATTACAAACTCTACCGTCGCGTATATTCTAGCCCGCAACAGTTTTTAAAGTGAGTTTGGCCCATTCTCAAACACATTCTCCTTCATATTTATACCAACATGCTCTCTTCAACGGCTTCCCAACAAGTCAACGGGCTCGTTGATGCTTTCCTTCAAAGACCTCCTCTTGCAAACTCCTCTTACCTCATTATGTCGCCAATCCGTTAGCTCTATGTCTAAGCAAGCTCCCATTATAAACACTTCTTACCTTCATGTAAGTTTGAATTTGAATAAATTTGAACTAAAATCATTTATGACAGAATTTAATTTGCGTATACAAATGGAGATTATTATTATTATTTTATTTAACTCATTATACATATATTTAACATCAAATCATTTACATATTTATCATTTTTCAATCACACACTGATAACATAATATAAACCATATATTGTATTTATCTAATACAAATAGCAAGCTTATCCAAAATGCTAATTTTTGTCCTCCTCCTTTCTTTTTAGTATATTATTTTTTTAACCTTTTTACTCCAATGGTCTATTGTTCAAGCCCTAAATGAGTAGACAACTAACATAAAATTTATCATATAACCATGAAATAATACACACAATGGAGCAAAAGAAAAAAGAAAGTTATATAAATAACCCCATGTAGTACCATAAAGACTTAGCCTTCTTTTGGGATAACTTTTTCTGCTTTTTAAAACAATTTTTTTAGTATACAATTTTTTAAACTAAAAAATTTTATTCTAAAAAAATATTAAAAAAAAGTAAAAAAAACCAATTGAGAAAAATTATTCTATGCAGGCACCTGACAGTCTGGAGACCAACCAGAATGTGCCACATCACCCGCTACACAACAGTGTCACCCGATACACAACGGTATAGAGAAAAAAGTGACATGCATGTTATGATTGATCTCCAAATGCCATCCGGGGTCCTCAGAGAATATTTTTTACTAATACCGGCAACTAATTCTAAGCCAAATAAAAAAAAATAAGAGGGTGGTAAAATTAACAAGAACCCTAAAATGGATAAAAATGAGATCATGGTCCACCCGGTTCCGATCATTCAGACCATCTAATAAAACAAAACAACTTCGCGCATCAATTAATAAAACGGGTGGCAAAACAGCAAACACAAAGATCTCAACCCGACCATAGGAGGAAGGTCCTACCACCCGTTTCCATTTTTTCCTTAAAAATCCCCCTTGAGCAATTTCACTTTTAAAATACAATCTTCTTAATCACGATGATCCTAATCTGATTCTACCAGCAAAAGCTCGCAGGAGCGCGGAAGTTCGTTTGACGGCCACTGTCACCGCCGACGATTCCTATCAAGGGGAAAGCAATTTAACTAATGTACACTGGTTCACATAGAATGGTAAGGATTGTAGCCCAGTGAAGACTTCAAATTGCTGACAATGTCATTGCATTTGAGCAGAAGGCTCAGCATTGGACCTGAGATATCGACGGTCATCCTCTCCCTCGGCGGCTCATTGAATGGAGCCAAAGGAGGAGGCAGAAATCCTCGGCTTGAATGGAAATGAACACCACGAGGTGGCGGCATAGGCAGTGGTGGAGGAAGCATCTGTGGAGGTGGAGGCAATGTCTGTTGTAAGGCTGATGGAGATGGTGGCGGGATGCGGGAAGAGTGCATCTCTAATCCACGGGAAGGAGGTTGAAGGGGTTGTGGCAGTAGAGGCGATGAGAAGAAAGCTATAGATTTTGGAGGTTGCCTGGTAATTTGATCAACTGATGAAAGCAAAGGGGCTTGCCCGCCTCCATCGTTGCTACTCGTGATGAGCTTTGTTGGTGGTGGTGGTGGTGGTTCGATGATGCGATCTTCGTTGCCGTTAAGCATGAACTTCACCCTTGGGCTCTCCTTGGTAATGTTACTGGTTGCAGTAGCAGAACTAGAGCCCGACTCATCAACAACAGGCTTCTTCAGAATGGATTTCAGCTGAGTCTGGCTCTGTAGCACTTGCGAAAATGAAGGTTTTTGAATATTGGCACTTCCATGGAGGTATTGGAGAGAGTCTTTGTCAAGACGGGAAGAATCAGAGGGTTTGTTTTGAGTATCAAGAGGCTGGTCTGGGCCAGAAACCTCGAGATCTCGAAGACAGTAACTGACCTTGACCTGCCCAAAGAGGTCATTGTTCTGGACAAAGTTGAAGGCTGATTGCGCATTGGATTTGTGCTTGAAAAGGACCTTGCAGGTATAGGCTTTCCAAGATATACGGGTGCCTGAAAGGTCAAGAGGTCCAAAACGAGCGAATCTGGCCTTCAGATTTGTCGGTGAAGGAAGCGTCGATCTTGGCGGGAACTTCATCACAAGAAATGTTGGGCTTGGAGGCTTTGGAGCTGGAGGCGGCTCTTGCTTCTTGGAAGCTTCGGTTGCAGTTGCCGACGAGGTGCTGTCCTTCGGATCCGTCGACTGTTGAAGTTCGTTGTTCTTTTGGCTCATGGCAACCTTCTTCTTCTTGCTTGCGAGTTGTTTGAGGTCGTTCATCTTTTTCATCTTCTTCATCGACAACTCCTCCTGACGATCAGAGGGATCACGTTTACGGACTGCTTTGGTCGAGTCCCCTAATCTTGAAGCTGCTTTTGGTGGCTTCCATGAGGAAAATGATTCTCTAAGCTTCCTCCCCTCTCCGCCTATTGCTGCCCCGATGTCTGCTGAAAATGGTTGAGCAGGAGCAGCTGTTTCGATGGAAGGAGGAAGGATGAGGCTCTTCTGATATACCAGCGAGCGGAACCGGAGAAACACATGGAGAACAATGGCGGGAGCATCACGCTCGATGGCATAGAAGGGATCAAGAGCGACGGACGAGAGATCGCTGAGAAGATCGGGGAGCTGCAGAGAACTTAACTCCAGCCCAGAAGGGAGTTCCATATCGATTCCATCTTCCTGGGGAAGAAGCTCGTCGAGTCCTAACGACCTGCTTGCTAGTAACCTGCGTTGATCTCCCTCAAAGGAAGCTGGAAATCGGTCGGCGCCAAGACCAGCCTTCTTCTTTTTCTTTCTCTTCTTAGCCTCTCCTCTCTGATTGAAGTCCTCTCGTGGCCGCTTGGGCACCTTCTCCTTCACAACAGCAATGCCATCATCACGCACCTGCAGAGGGGGCTTCTGGTACTCCATATCGGCGCACTCCTGAGAACTCTCCAAGTGAATATCATGCACCATGGACTCGGACGATCCCGCCTCGTTCTTAACTTCAACAGTTTCTGATTTCTGCGTGAAGTCCTGTGGGAGGGACGCCTCCGTTGTCGACTGCAGACTAGTGACCACATCAGACGGCGGAGACAGCTTCTCTCTCTTATGCAGCACATAGTTGGAGTCCATGAAGGAGGCGGCCGGATCGGCGGAATACGGCAAGGAAGGTAACAAGCCATGATGGTGTGGTTGGGATGCGGAAGAAATGTCCGGGAAGGAGCTGCTTGGGAAGGCGGAGGCGGCGGGTAGCTCGTCCCTCCTCTTGAGCACGTACTTATTCTTCTTGCCAATATTCGTTGGCTTCTGAGAGGCCTGCCTCGCCGAACTTCTCCGCTCCGCCAACGTCTCTGCAACCACCAGCGGGCCACTAAGCGGAGCCCCTGCACAAACCACGGTGACACGTGTAAGCAAATAAGCCAGGGGTAAATCGTCGAACAGGTTCCGCGCGGTCACATACAGCGCAATGGAAAAGTATGCAACAACCGAATTCCTATAAATAAAAAAATATATTATTTAAATTAAGTTAAATTGAAAATTCATATTAAGTTAAAGGTTCGATCAGGTAATTCACAAACTATTAACATAATAAATTCGATTATAGGAGTTTATTATATGATGTTAAATATTAAAAAAATTTACAAATTATAAAATATAATTATTTTTACCATCTTAAAATAAAAATAAAAAAGAAAATGACCGTACTAACCTCAGGCCCAGTGCTCTGTAGATGGGTTCAATCAATTAATAAGTTGCCAAGATAATTGTAAGAGAACCCATCAGCAGCAAACAACTTTGATGGACCCACAAAGCTATCATCTCGCCACGTGTTCTGGTCAAACTTTTGGTACCCTCACTTCCCCCACTCTTTCTCTCTCCTTCTTTGTGGAATAATAATTGGGGCCACAACGCATCTTCTTGTACGTAAAACAATAAATTATTTTTATTAAATTAATAGTAGCCGTTTCCATTTAATATGAACTCTCAGGTCAACTGAGGAGCGCCGCTCTTTTATTATTATTATTATTATTATTTTTGTAAGACATTAAGCTTCACGCCCATTTGCCCGAGTGGCCGGAAGAGGGAACAATAGCCAAGCCAAACAACTTGGCAATACGGAGGATCGCTAACTTGCTAAGGCATGGCAGAGAAGACTGAGCTTTACCAATTTCCATTTAGTTTACAATTATTATTATTATTATTATTGAGGTCAGATTGCAAAATTCACTACGAAGTTGCTTGACTAGATGGTTGGCCATCCTAAAGGAAAGCTATGAATGTTAGATAATACAAAGAAAATGCATTTGATTGAACCTAATAATATCGACTACATCTACTTATATGATTAAAAACCTATCAACCCGTTTAAGCTTCTGATTTATTTTGTGCAAATTTCAAAATTAAAAAAAAAAATTTGTAACAAGTGGGTCCGGTGGTCTAAATCATCTTATACAATGAAAATGAAATAATAGTATGACAAGGCTCAATTAAATCTAACTTTATGGGGGAAATGCATTAAATGTTAAAATTTAAATTAATATTAATAATCTAAAATAAATATTAATCAATTACATCACACAAACAGCCTAAACTACCCAATTAGTTAGACTACGAAAACTGTTAAAAAAATAAAAAACAAAGGAGATTGTTCTATGTGCATTGATTGTCAAAGTCTGCTGTAATACAAAAAACACAGCATACAACAAAAAAGAAAAAGAAAAAAGAAAAACAATTAGAAGGGGAAGCAGAACTACATAAGCCATCATCGCTCCGATGCACTTTGCAGCTCCAACATGCAAAAAGAGTGTGAGCATATCTGAAACGATATAATAACCCTAAGTAAAAAATCAAGAACAAAATATTATCAATAAATTTTTGCAATGGAGACAAATTCAGCGTATCCAATTAATTATCAAATTCAAATAATAGGCATTTCAAACAGCACAATTTCCCAAACCATGGTTTTAAAATTTTATTTTATATTTTAATTCAAACACAAAAAATTTATTTAATTTCATTACTTAGTTCGGTAATTATTATTTTTATCTTCAATTAAATTATTATTATTATTATTAAATAAATCAAAAAGTATTTTGAATATAAGAAAAAAAAATTAGACTTATTTATTTGATATTTAATGTTACAACCTTGAACTGCTCGAAAATTCTAATTATACCATAACTCGAATGAAACGGTTACAAATTTAAAAACTCGGACCCATCAGAACCTAAAAAAATAATTCATTCAAATCAGTTCCAATTTGAACAGGTTTCTAATAAAACTGATCCAAAAGCACCAAAAACAAAACCGTAACCAAAAATCATATTCCAAACAACCAATTAGTTCATTCAAGTTTGCTTTCAGATTGCATAGGCGCTGGATGGTCCCTAAAACCCGAGCTATTATTCTGTGCGGACGCGCTCGCTCGGTACCGAGCGCAGTACATTTTTTGGGTGACGGTGGCATATTTTTATGGGTCTCCGGATGCTCTGAGCTCCGCACAGAATAAAATTTCCTAAAACCAACCCACACTTGGAACTTGGAAGTAAACAGACGCGCTCCCACCAAGAGCACAGTAAGGGGACTGAAATCCAGAGATGCATTTGAAATTTAGTAGCAGCAACAACTCGCCCAAATAGACTAATAGCTCACCAGTTTCTACATACTCTCGACGCTACAGCAGCAAAAATTCATCAGGTCACTTGATAGAATTTTGTCTTACACTGCTACAGGGGCACAAAAACTATTACTTCATCTTATTTAATCCCAATAAGGAGTGGCATGCCATAGTCAAGTATGAATGATTTGATCTAAATTTTCCCATAGAAAAGTGCAGGAAAAGCAAACTTATTCAATCATTCGTGGGGCATTCAACTAAACCAGAGTACCTAAGAACTAAACATATGAAAGTTACATAGTTGCACCAGAACTACCATCAGACTACGTTTGAGGTGATTAAGAACAAGTCTATATAGGGGATCATGAATGATCAGGAAGTGGTATGAAGCGCAATTCATTTTGAAACGCATGCAAAGATAAATGTCAATATTACTTAAGTGTCACAAATAAGGAAGACCCGAGATATCAAATACATATTACTCTTTTTAATGACTTGATCGCACAAAGTCATAATCCCCTAATTAGATCTATTACTATTAAAATTACACTCACTCTAAAACTGACCTTTATAATTCAAGTTTTCTTTCAACTCCCTCTCTAGTCTTGTCAACAAGCAGAATATCGTAAGCAAAAAACACAATTGGGTATATCCTCTTTGAGAATGACTGTCTAATAAGAACATTCATGAATAAAGCAAAAAAAAATATGAACTTAAAGATGATCCTTGATGTAATCCAACTGTATTAGGAAGATACTTGGTCAAACCACTATGTGTTTGAACACACAAGTAATAGCTCGTGTATACATATCCTTGATGACTTGAATATAAGCATTATTAACTCATTTTTTTCTAAAACTCTTCATAGTACTTCGCTTGAAACTTTATCTTATGCTTTCTCTAAAATCAATACATGTCACATGTAGATCCTCATTTCTCTACTTCTCCATCAAATCTCTTAATAAATATATAGCTTCCATAGTAGATCTACCCGACATAAATTTAAAATACTGTCTCTCATAGTTTTCAAGTATGACACTCTATAACTTAATTCCTCTATAATTCACACACTTTTGTGCATCATATTTATTCTTAAAAATATGAACCAACACATTTCTTCTCCACTTATCTAACATCTTCTAAGCCTTTGAATTAATATTAAAAAATTTAGCAAACCACGAAATTCCTAATTCATGTTTAGTTATTGGAATATCATCAGGTTCAGTTGCTTTTTCTAAAACCAGTCTAACTTTGATTTTACTGATACGATGATAAAATATATATTTATTTATTTTCATTTAGGATGCTAAGAACACTAAAGTCAATTGTATACATACGATCATTGAATAACTTATCAAAATATCTCATCCACCAATGTTTAATATCCTCTTAAAAAAATAAACATCTTTATCTTCACCATTAATGTACTTCACTTCAGCTAGATCATTACTTCTACTATCTCTTAGCTTGGCAAACTTATACATGCATACTTTGCCCTTCTTAGTATATAATCTATTATGTAAATTACTAAAAACTAATTTTTTTTGCATCCCATATTGTGTTCTTAGTCCCTCTATATATTTTCTAGATTTTTAAGCTTTTATATCTAAATCGATTTTTATAATAAAGCTTCTTCCTTTTGATATTTTCTTGCACATTTTGATTTCACCACAAGTTATTTTTACTATATGAGCTTCTCTTTTTGATACTCCAAACACATAATTTACAACATTTTTAATATTACTAGCTATTTCTTTCCACATAATATAAGCTTCCTCATGAACAACCAATATCTTGAAATCTTAAATCTTACTCTTAAAAATATTTTTATGAGTATTCTTTAAATGTCCTTCTAATCATATGATAATATTTTATTTTTTATTTTCTACCCTTTCATATTAAAGTGTAAAATAAATAAGTGATGCTAGGTAGATAAACGCATTCAGAATGACTTCATTAACTTTACAATATAAACGATATGTTTTTCTAATAAAAAAATAATTAATTTCAATTTTAATATATCCATTTTTATAAATGATGAGATGTTCATCTCTTTTCTTAAATAAGATATTAGCAATTACAAAATCATAAACTAGAACAAAATCTAATATAATCCCACCAGCTTAATTAAATGTTCAAAACTCATAGCAATCATAAATACTTTTAAAATCTTCTACCACATTACCAACATGTCCATTTAAATCTTCTCCAATGCAAATTTTTCTTCAAGTGGTTTTATTTGTACTAATTCTTCTAAGTCATTTCAAAAATTTAAATTTGAACACATCCAAAGATTCAAACCTACTTGAGGAGCATAAATACTTATAATATTAAAAATCTTAGCATCAACAATATTCTTTAAAAACTATAATTCTATCTTCAATCTATTAATTTCTATAACATTATCCCCCAAACACTTCTCTATAATATCAACTACATCATGTCTATTATGACTCATACCTAAATACCATATTTTAAATCCTAAACTATCAATCGCCTTTATCTTTTTTTTCTACTCGTTTAGTTTTTTGAACACATTAAATATTTATCATCCTATGAATCTAATATCTATTAATTTAAAATATTATTATATTAAAAATAATTTTATCAATGATAGTCATTTCAAACATATTCTTTCCCATTAAAATAAATTTATGAGCATTATTTTTTAGCACGCCACTTTACTCGAGTGGATACCTTAACATAGCCATAATCCATTAGAATGTATTTGGCTCAAAAATTAAGATTGCTCATCAATTGGAATAT